CTTTAGTGGGGGGGGGGGGGGTAATTAAAGAATGACTGTAACTGTCAGATTTAGTAAGCTACTTTTCCCCCCAAATTCAGAAATATAACCATAACATTCATCTTTCTCAATATTGCGATTTTTTTTAAGAACAAAACTCAGGAATAACAACTAAATTTCCTACATCGCTTTTCTGATATGTGTTTAGATTGCAGTTGACACACTTATACTAACAGTCGATTAAAAATTGATTTGAGAATTGAGAAAATCTAATAAATTTTTTTACCTGAAGATTCTAGATTGCTTGGCACAAACTCCTTGGCAGTCGCATTCAGCACCGGTACTACAAATCATTAATCAATTTGTTAACAATCAATCAGGAAATTATCAATCAGAGCCATAATAAAATGACTAGATTTGCATTAAAATCACCCGGAATTCATTATTCAATATATAACAAATCAATTGCATAATTTATCGCTAATTAATCTGAAACCAATCAATGCTAACATGATTAGGCATATTAAAATGATAAGCAAATTAAAATTATTCTACCTATGATTTATGATTTATGAGAATGAGATCTGCGATCCTTACATAAAAACTTTTTTATTGAAACTGAGGCCTCTGATTGCGAGTATTAGTGGAACAATAACTGATATCCCTGAGTTAGGTTAGTACCTGAATTCTCTGATTGTGAGTATTTATTCAGCATAAACTGATATCTCTGAGTAAGGTTGGTACCTGAATTCTCTGATTGTGAGTATTTGTTGAGCATAAACTGATATCCCTGTTCAGGGAAGAAAGGCTGAGCTGTTGCATCTAATGTCGCAGACCCTAAAAATTTGTAAAAAACTTTAATTTAGAAATTATATAAAATCTGAAAGCGATCCTGACTAATTGCAATATGATTTTTGACGATTTAGGGAAAAAATGAAATATTAGAATCAAATAGCAAGTTTTTTCCTTCTTTTGATACTTTTTACAAGAAATTTATTTTCCACCCAAAAAATTATTTATTTTTCCCAATTTAGCGAAACAAATCTTTTTTAACAAAAAAACAAATATTATATCCTTTGTGGGGAAAAAAATTATTTAGAATTTAATGAATTTGAGCTACGTCCCTGAACTGCCAACTGTCGTATCAAATTTGAACCAGAGATTAAATGTTAAAGGTTAAGGCAGGGTTGAAAGGGTGATTCAAATTTTAACCAGTGGTAGGCAGTTTTAATTCATTAAATTCTGCCCCTGCTCCTTATTCATCTTTTGATGGAATTAATTTACATTTCCCAATTAATTTTCTCTCTGAATATGTTAAACAGTCTGAAATTATCTTTTTGTAAAAAAATAATCAAATAAGTTTATTGTATTTTTAAAATATTTTTGAAAAAATTAAACCTTTTCGTTGTGATATCAAGACAAAAAAAATTATCTAAATAAATTTTCATTTAATGTTTATTTTGTACAACATTGTAATGGTGTTCACTTAACTTAATCTATTATAATTCATGGCTCATTGCATGGTTGATATCATTAAGGTCTACGACATTAAATCATCTGGTTGCAAAGATGAAGAGGATAAAAAAGTTGGATATAAATCAGTTTTTAGAATATGTTCTATATATAGATTGATCACCTTGGTCGCAGATGTCTCCGTCATCATAATCCGCGGTCTCGTGCAGCAAAGACGATATTTCAGGATCTCTGTATATATAGGCCTTCCCTAAAAAGAATAAACAAATCATATCAGACTGTTAGGGGTGTTCTGCAGACCTAACTCCAAAATTAAGATGACTTTACAAAGTCAAAATGAAGAGAGGTATTATAGTTTTCATTCAACAATTCAGGATTTTTTTTTCCAAATCCTTCGTCAGGATTTATTAAAAGTGAGACATAGTTGAACTAAGGACTCTTAGTTCAACAAAAACTCTATTAATTGATGATGGAAGTACTGCACGAGTAGTTTAAATAATTTTAAAAAATAAATTATATTTGTTTTAAGCTATTATCAACAGTTCCCCCCAGCATATCCTGGTTTTCAAGTACCCCAGCAGAGATAGGGTTAATTAGGTTGTTTTGATTGAATTATTTATTTTATATATTCATCGTATAACATTTTTTAAAAGTTTTTGTATGCTTATATCTGTAATATTATAGGACAAACTACTGATTATGCCAATAAAGTTTTTAGCGAAATATATTGAGAAGAAAATGATGTAATTCTAGTGATACAGAGTAGGGTTGGGATTTGTTTAAAAAAGATCTATAGTTTAAATAACTAACGAAATACAAAACAATTATTTAGGGATTTACTCCATAATCTCAGGTCAGAATTTATGAATAGCAAGTAGGGACTGTTAGCTGAACTAATTTCCTAATTTTTTAAGGCGGCAGCACCAGTGTCCAGTATTACTCTCAATCTAACATGAGCACAGGGGTATATATATTCTCATAGATCATCCCACCCTCCATTTCGAAAATCCTTTTTTTCTCAAGAAGTTATGAGATTTATTTCCTGAATTGCGGAAAATAAGTAGGTTTTAGAGGAAAATTAGTGAATATTATGCTAAAAAGAATAATAACAGTATCCTTTTGATTTTCAATTTTTAATTTTATCCCCAAATCATTTGAAAAATATACACCCCTTGAAGTTGTTGCTCATGTTTATAAGATTACCCTGATTACTCTTATATTGACTGTACCTGGAAAAAGTGTACTGTCCATAGGATAACCTAGAAGCCGGAGCTGGTCAGTTGGAAGGAGGTAACTTGTTAACAGCTGATATATATCCTAAGATAACAAGTTGGTTAACGGCTAATACATGTCCTTGGATAACAAGTTGGTTAACAGTGTGATATAAGATAAGATAAGATAAGAGAGGATCTGATAGCAAGTCGGGTAACAGCTGATATATATCCTGGAATAACAAGAAGGTTAACAGCTGATACATATCCTGGGTTAACTAGTTGGTTAACAGCTGATATATAATCTTAAATAACAAATTGGTTAACAGCTGATATATATCCTAAGATAATAATTTGGGTAACAGCTGATTTATATCCTAGGATAACAAGTTTGTTAACAGCTTATATCCTAGGGAAAAAATTGTTTAACAGCTGATATATAATCTTGGATTACAAGTAGGTTAACAGATGATATATATCTTAGAATAAAAAGTCGGTTAACAGCTAATACATTTTCTGGGATAAAAAGTAGGTTAACAGCTGATATATATTCTGTGATAAAAATTTGGTTAACAGTTAATATATATCCTTGGATAACAAGTTGGTTAACAGCTAATATATTTCCTGGGATAATAAGTAGGTTAAAAATAGATATTATCCTGGGATAACAAGTTGGTTAACAGCTGACATATATCCTAGGATAACCAGTAGGGTAACAGCTGATATATATCTTTGGATAACCAGTTTGTTAACAGCTGATATATATCCTTGGATAACCAGTTGGTTAACAGCTGATATATATCCTTGGATAACCAGTTGGTTAACAGATGATACATAACCTGGTATAACAAGCTGATAACAGCTGGTAAATAGAAAGATATGCAAGGGTGGCATGAAACTATAAGGCATATATTAGGGTGTGGCTCGGCCTGGATTCCAGGCGGACTACTATTGTTACCCACAAAGGATGAGACTGTAAAGACGACCTGAAACTTTTTAAATTTGACGATTTCAAGGTTAAATTAAGTCATCTGTCTTTTTTATAACTTTTTTATGCCTTTTTCAATGATAAGGCAAAAAAGAAACAAGCTTACACTTGCAAGGAATCATAAAACTAAGGAAACAGATCGTATAAATACCGTACAATCGTCTCTGAAGTCTTATCCATTGAGGGTAACCCTGTATATAGATTTGAAGTTTTATGTTGAGCTCTTAAACAAATCTGACCAACAAACTCCCCAATTGCCCCCCCCCCCC